TCGTCATGAAAGTAGTATATTTTAGATTTCTTCTTTGACGGACCTTCCTCAGTTGTCATGACTGCATCTCTTTTTCTCTATCTTTCTTACTCTCAAAATATACTACATAAATAAATATGTCTCAACATGTCAACTGCACTTTAGCGCCCTCTGGTGAGCTACTCGGAAAACCTCCGACGTGTTGGCGACCCCTGGTCTAGAGAATGCACCAGACAGCATCTAAGACCTGCAACAATCTAAATGTTCTAGGAGGAGGCCCCCCCAAACCCTTCGTGCTTCATTTCGTCCGTGCGCATTTTTCAGGGCAATCTCTATTGGGCTCAGGGCCATCTGTAAATTAGCTTAGATGGCCCACAGTCATGCACTGTGTAATGACCACACACTCATTCCCCTAATCATGTTTAACTAGCACACGAACATCATGTTCTCCAAATGGACGCACCAACATCAGAGCAACATGTATGTTCCAGATGTCGAAAGGTCTCATGACGTCTTTAGGAGTCTTGCAGGATATGAATTATCCAATTAACAAACTATATATACGTTTGCACATGAACGCACACACTTTTCTTTACATTAACTAACACACAAACCTCAATGTTTTCCCTCTAACTCTATTATAATCTAAACATCCTCTTTGTCAGCTCACTTGAATGAATGAGTGAATAATTAGCAAAGAGACGATTAGCCTCTTGGCTCTGGAAGCTGTAATGCAATAACATACCTAGTTACTATGACTAGGTCCAAGATTGATATAACAATACCATGAACGGAACAAATACAAATGAAATGAAAAGGATATCGCTCCCAGTTGGATCTCAATAATGTTTGCTGGAATCAAGGGCTGAAGTCGAATAGTCCATTTAGCTTAGGAACCTTCCTAACGGAGTGAAATGACCCGGAAGTCCCTCAGTGGCAGCCATGATAAGTGCCGTTCCAATTCTCAAGTGCAGTGGTTCTCAAACTTTTTTCAATCATGTACCCCCTTTGAAAAAAAAGTTCAGCCCTGATCAGCGCAAAAACTATTTGTTAAGGAAAAAATGCCTATATAAAGAGGTACAGCACAGTGCTGCACCATCAGTGTCTGATTTATTAAAACAACAACCTTGTAACTGAGAAACACTTAAATGCTACATTTCAAATGTTTACAATCCGTCACTAAATTCATGTCAAACCAATTTTAACATCATGCAATAACACTGAGACGACATTAGTTGCATTGAACTGATGTTTTTAATAAGTTGTCCTTACAATGTAGTGAAACATGGGCTTGTGCTTCACTGAGGATCTTTGTCATTCTGACAGGGAGGCAAACTGCAGTTATTACACTTCGCGTTTTGAAATATATGAAACTGTTAATATAAAACCCACACTGCTCAAACTTCATTACTTTAACTAAAATTGGTATATTTCTTTATTTCGGGGCATGGGGAATGAAGAGAGAAAAATATATGAGCATTTTATGAGCATGGGATTTTGACCCCTCATATAAACATATGCATAATGCTGCGCTAAACTTTGCGGCCACACGCCGTTGCGGCCACACGCTTATTGTTTAGGTCCTTTGATAAGCAGGCAGTCATATCATTAACTAGAACTAGCTAGATCTGATAGATTTGGACATAGATGCGAGTGAAGTATAACCGGACGAGAGAGAGAGATCAGATCAGCTGCTGCTGACGGAGAACACGCAGCTCTGCATGATCACAGCTCCGCCGCTGTGACGGACTGTTGAGCCGAGCAAAATTAAATACATTAAGAGTTAGAACACACTTAGCTAGTTTATCTACTCTGGAACCAGCTAAACTAGTTATAAATATATTTATTCTTTACTGTCGTGTCACTTATTACAGGTTCAGCGAGCTGCACGAGACTGACGGGCTGTCAGGAGAGGGAGAGGAAAAGAGAGCACCCCGTTTATTTTTCCCATTTTATTATCCAGAGTTTCTGTAAACTTTGAATAAAGTAGTTAATCTACTATTAGTAGTTTGTTTAAATGCATTAATTATGTTTGTTTTTTTCATTAACATAAAATAAATCTCACGTACCCCCTGCAGTACTCCAACGTACCCCTAGGGGTCCGCGTACCCCCATTTGAGAACCACTGCTCTAGATGATAGGAAAGGAGGTTTCAAAACTTCCTTTATAACCTCCTTTAGCTTAGGAACCACTGGACCTCCCTAACCGAAAGGAGAGGAGAAAATGCTGCCCCACAATGCCTTGCAGCATTTGCCGTCACACAACAGTCAGCCGTTCACGGAAACAAACGATTATGACGGAGAAATGATATCATAAACGTTACGGTGCTTATTAAGCTTTTTAAAACGTATGTGGTAAGTTGCAAAAAAAGAAATATGAACGTTAGTTTTTACTGAAATGATCAAATAAAGTCAACATCTCACAGTCTTTACTGAGCTGTGTGGAGTTTGTTCAACTTTTAAAAGATGTTTGAATGGTGATATACACAGTGATAGATGTTAAGGACTAACGTTTATAATAAATACATTTGTATTGATTTTAAGATCTTTTCATCAATCATACGTATTGGGATCATGTGTATTAATGTGGACCGGAGGGAGAGGGTGACGAGCAGAAGCTTCACTTTCCTTTTTATTTCAATTCCAACTTTGGTCCTGAAGAATATGTTTCTCTGTTGTCCACGTTCATAAAGCAACAGCGTCAGAGCACGGTGCAGAGTCTCTAGATGAGTTTACATGAGTCCCTCGTTCTTATTGAACATCCATGTTGTAGTCCGCTGTATAGAAAACTGTAGTTTCCATAGTTTCCCCACAGCAGCAGACGCACATTCATGACGTCCGCTGGCGCATCATAAACACGTCGGATAGTGAAAGTGCATTCGGATTCTCTAAAGTACCGCAGTCTCTTCTCCTAAGTCCTTTTGAATTCTCCTATCCACTATCCCTTAACCCCGTGACGTTTCACTCAGAGGTCAAGGAATAGGAGATAGGAGCTGATTTTTGGATTATCCGACCGCAACCAAGGAGTTGAAGTACTAAACGCTTGAGGGGGAATAATGCGACTTCGACACTCACATCTGCGAGCAAGAGATTGCTTTTGGGTTTTTGAATAAGAATACTACAAGAGATTGAAGCAGCGCATCATCGTGTGCATACGTGATGAGCAAATCTTCAAGAGAAAAAGCCCGTGAGTCTCAGTGTTTGAATCAAGATGTCGGTCCTTGGCTTTCCGAAGGGAGATGCGTTTGTCTTTGTTCCACTTGTTCCATGCTGCCGTGTTTTTTGTTTGCTTTGAGCATTGCCAGGTTATCTGAGGCGTAAAATGCACAAAGAAATGAGACCATGAACGGTCCAACACACAGCAGCTACATCCCTCTACTCTACAGCTAGCTTTTAAGCTCTTCTAACAGTAACACATCCGTGAAAATAACATATTAAAACAAAGAAAACATCACGTAGGAACTAGATATCATACAGTAATAACCAAAGAGACTGTGAGTGTAGTAATAATAATAAATGATATTTATATAGCGCCTTTCAAGGGACCCAAGGTCGCTGTACATGGTGGACAAACAAAACAAACAGACAATCAACGGGCAAACCAAAGAATAAATAAATAAAGGAAGCCGAGGGACCAGAAAAGGGCTAGGGCCCGAAGGCCAGGGTGACCAGGTGTGTTTTTAGTGATGATTTGAAGATGTCCAGGGAGGCAGCATTACGGATCTCGGCAGGAAGTGCATTCCAGAGGGTGGGGGCCGCAACACTGAACGCCCTGTCACCAACAGTTCGGAGGCGAGAGCGGGGGATGGAGAGCAGGCCCGTGTCTGAGGACCGCAGACTCCGAGAAGGGGTGTAGGGATGGAGGAGGTCCGATAGGTACTGGGGTGCGAGGGAATGGAGGGACATGTACGTGAGGATGAGTGTTTTGTATTGAATCCGGGACTTGACCGGCAGCCAGTGGATGAGGGTGGGGGTGATATGGTGCCATGGCTTGGTGTGGGTGAGAAGCCTGGCGGCAGAGTTCTGGACGTATTGGAGCTATTTAAAGCCTCTCTGCCTCGCTCTGCTTTTTCCTACAGGCACCCGGTTCTGTTGAGTATGCTGTTTGTTACTTTAGTTGCTTTAGTGCACCTCAACACCCTCACACATTAGGCGCGTTCACACCGTAGTACTTTTCCCACTTTAGTTCCGATATAGTTCCGAAATGTTGCGTTCACACCAAAAAGAGCCGGAACTAAAATTAGTTCATGAGAACCTTTTCACCCCCTTTTCCGTCCTTGCTAGAGAGCAGGGACTTTCGTGGGAGAAAAAGGTTCCTATTTCTGATTGGCTGGGCGGATTGCAAACCATGCCCCGTAAAACTCCCAAAAAGTTTTGTGAAGCCGTGTGAAGCTGGGAGTCCCAGCAGCTTCTACTGAAGCCAGTCCCTAACTCCGGGGACTTCCGGCCGGGGACTTCGGGTGGCAGTATACGCCGTGAAGCTGTTTGCGGCCTGCCAGTAAACCCAAAGCAGAAGAAGAAGAAGTGACGTCAGCGGCTTCATTTGCCTAATCTTCCCTCAGGGACTTATTCCGGCGTGAACGCGATCTGTACTTAGTTCATGAGAACTAGAGAGTTCTCCTGAACTAAGTTCTGATGAACCTTTGTGGGAAAAGTACTGCGGTGTGAATGCGCCTATACACGTCCATGCAACCCTCACCCTGCATTTGCACTACTGATACCACTGACGTCCACACCTCGTGCTTTACTCGTTTTGCACTTAATTCATTTGCTTAATTTGAATTGCTTGCTTAAATAAACATATTTTATTAACCGTTGATATGGTGTGTCTCATGTTTGTTGTGGCCTTTTGAGCCAGGTCATAACACTGAACATTTTACTTTCTGAAAATGTTTACTTTTTATAGTAAAGATGGGTTCTGCGGAGACGTCTCTACTTTTACCCTAGAGTATCGTTGAGTTTCACCACAAAGTCAGAGATAAAGTTATGAACAATATTCTCTCTTTTCCTCTTCTCTTCCAGGCGCTCTTGCCATCCTGATCCCAGAGCTGGACCTCGTCATCTCATTGGTCGGTTCGGTCAGCAGCAGTTTTCTGGCGCTGATCTTCCCGCCCATCCTGCAGATCATCACTTTCCACACGGAGGGTCTTTCTCCTCTTGTCACCATCAAAAACGCCGCCATTAGCCTCATCGGGCTCATCGGCTTCATCACGGGAACTTACATCGCCATCGAGAAGATCATAGAGCGAAACGGACTCAAAAGCACCGAGGCGTTTTCCTCCTTTATGGTGCAGTGATGACCCGAAAAAAGACATTTAGAAAACATATTAGGGCACTTTTTTTATTTTACTTTATCCTTCCACTTGCTGCTGTTGGATATGGTGGACACTGCTTTTTGTTGCATTAATCTATCGCGTTTTTAAGAAGCTGTGAGGATGTATATTTCATCCTTTCATCGCTTTCTGACTCGATTTCATTGCTGTAACAAACTGCCACACTTAATTTAAAGTACTGGAAAGTAGTGCAAACTTACAATAACGTAATAATAATGATAAATTCATTCCTTCAGGTAGCTTCGAGAGATTTTAGGTAGAGGTATTTAAGAGGTAGTCTATCATTTTGAATATATGAATGTTTAATCAAACTACCCCACACATGTGTTTATTTAAATCTGGACTATCAAACACTTTCCACATTAGTTGTTGACCTTTAGTTTTCTGTAGATATTTTAACCACCACCTCATTTAGAAGAAAATCAACATTTGTTGTTGCACTTTGATGTATGCCTTATTCAGTAACGTCGTGCTACTTTGACATTAGACACATCATGAAAACTCTAAATCAAGTATCTGTATTTTTAGCGAATAATGGAGTTGAGTATCATTACATTAAATAAGAACTAATTGGAAAATATAAGAGCTTTCTGGGGAATTATTCAGAAGCGAGGTGTTGCAATAGTCCTTGAAAGAATGGAAGTTAATAACATTCACCAAAGAAAATAATTGGAATCTTTTTTTTATAATTTAGAGATTTTACATTTCTCATCATTTTAGATTCTTAATGTTTCTGAAAAAGTCAAATTTGTCTGAAAAGTCATCATTTGGACCAAAAGTTAGAACTTTAATAAAAAGCCAGAATTTCCGAAAAAAATCTGAAAAATTTACTTTTTCCATACAATTTACTTAAAGTGTTACAAATTTGACTTTTTCAGAAAAAATTAAAGCATTTGACTTTTTCAGAAAATTCTAGAAAATGTTTATTTTTCTGAATATTTCCAAAAAAGTTACTTTTTAAAAAAAATTCAAGAAAATGTCAGGAAATTTTACTTTTTCAGAAAATGTTACTTTCAGAAATTTCTTAATTTTTCAGAAAAGTCATAATTTGCAAAAGTAAAATTTAAGAACATTTTGAGAAAAAAAGTCTAATTGTCTTGAATGTTATAATTTGGACAAAATGTTAGAACTTTAAGAAAAAAACAGAATTTTGTATTTCAAATTTTTTTTCCACATTTTTTCCTAATCCTCAAGATATTAAAACACTTTTTAAATGATTTCTCTTTTGTACAACACATTATAATTAAGGAAAGTTACAGAGCAGCACTGTTTGTGTTTCTAGTCTCTATAAGGCACCAACAATCACGTGATGCTGGAACCTGAGATCTGGATCGAAAATACGATAAAAGGGAAAATATATTATTCATAGGATTTAATCAAAATAAATATGGATGATTGTAATCAGTAAGATCTCCCTGATACTCGACCCTAGCAGAATGAACCGTCACTAAACAAAGTAATAATGGAGTCAGACTTTAGGAACCGAGTCGTACCGTCTTTATGTCGGAGCTCTCCTGTGTTTCTGATTCTTTTGATCCCATTTTTTTTGGGTGTTTTAATGTATTTACAAACATTTCTGACTCACGTTGTTGTTGTTTGTTTATTAAACAGCATGCATTTTTAAACACCTAACCTTGAAAATGTTATTTTCTTTGTGTTTTAATTGAACAGAGAGGCTCTGCATGTATTATAATGTAATGTATGTAATATAAAACACATTTGACACGTTTTAGTTATTCTGGGTTTAACCGCAGACTCACTGCTTCTGTTCAGACGTCTCCAGTGTTATGTGGCAGTATACAAAAGGCTTGTTGATATAAAAGCCTTATTCATAAAGAATTCAAACCAGCTCTTTGTGTATATATCCATTTGTTGCATATGTAAATGTCTGCACACTATGTTTTAATTTAATTTTAAATACCAATAGTTTTTCTTTTATTCTGGAATTGATGTGCTAAAATTGCCACTTGACACTTTAAGGGGATAATAATTATGATGATGAAGATGAGGATGATGAAGATGATGTGCAGCTTCCCAAAGAAGACTAATTTCAACTTTCATTTAGTGCTAACTAACGATTTCTAGGAAATAAAATCATTATTTTCCACCAAATTAATTGTTTAAACCCATTTTAGAATCATCAGTCAATCTGTTTGATATTTTAATAAATGAATGACAACTTTATTTTCATTCCCTTTCATTTCTTTATTCCTATATATATATATATATATATATAATGAATAAATACATTTGAAAGCATCCGCATGTGTCTTTGTTTAGGTTGCTATAGAAACGATCCCTTCTGTTTTTAAAGGGACAGTTCAACCAAAAAAACGATTTAGAAATCTTTTATTGCAAAAACTCATGAATTTGTAACGTTTATCCTCCACTCCCCATGAGGGTGAAACACAGTGATGAGCTCAGAATAACGCTCACAACGATTTTTCTAAAAAAGTCAGATTTAAAAATGTTCTGAAAGTCATTAATTTTAGAAAAACTGAATTTTGAGGAAAAATATCTAATTTCTTCTTTTTTTTCTGAAAAAGTCTGAATGTTTTGAAAAATACTGATTTTTGAACAAAATACATATTTCTGAATTTATCTGAAAAAGTTGGAATTTTGAGGATTTTACTGAAAAAGTCAAAATTTTGAGAAATAAAATCAATTTCAGTTTTATTCTTAAAAAGTCATACTTTTGAAGAAAAAAATATCAGATAAAATCTGATTTTTGAGAAATAGTTTACAACTGACACCTCAAGGGGGACGACTCGGACGAGCATTGTGATGTCTTTAAAGGGACAGTTCAACCAAACATTTTTATTTTTCCTCAGAGACTGAAGCAAGGTAAGAGCCAGACTTTCCATTTCTATTCCATTTCTCCTCATATTTTTCATCGCCTACCTTCATCTCATCCGTCCTCTCCCTGCCTCTCTTATTCTAATCCTCTCCTGTTCCTCATCTCCTCTCCCTGCTGAAGTCGTCTTTCCCATTCCAGCTTCGTAGCAGGATTCCTCTCATCTCCTCTTCCTCCTCCTCCTCTTCGTCGCTGTATCTCTGCAGCACTGATCTGTGCAGCGTCACTTCAAAATGCTGCAGAGCCTGTGAAGACTTACTGGAATAGAGAGTGATCTTGCTCAGTACTGGAGACAACATATGGAGCAATATTCTACTTTTTCACGTGTCAAAACCAAAACACTTTTATAAAAGAAAAAGTCATCTCGGCTACATCACGCTGAAATATCGGTAGACTTTGGTTCAAACTGTGGATGTGAAACCAGTCAGGAGATTCTCCAGATTTGTGATTGTCAGAATAAAAGTTTAGGAAGCTTTTTTTGTTAACTTTCCGAGGATAAAATGAGACTTTAATGTCTTTAGCTTGGATCTATTAGATTAGCAAACATGCAGCCTGTCTCCTTTGAACAATTAATACAATGAATCTTCTTTATTTAAAAAGCCTCTCTCATTCATATGTACTGGACGGAGATCTTTCAAACTTTATCCCAGGTGTTCAGCACTGAACTGGATCCAAATCCTCTGGCTGCCCTATAGAGGGGTGCAGGAACGAGTCCTAAAACCAGGAAGTGAGTCAGCATTTCACCACTTCCTTTTCCCTCGTCTCAGAGCCAACGGGATTTTTGAACTCGTTTTTGGAAAATATCTGGAAATAAGGTCTGTGGTTGACACAAATGGAAGAGACGGATCACTTTTTGTTCTACCACATTAAATCCATCAGCAGTGACCCCACTGGTGATTTCTGAAGAGTTGACGTGTCTGAAAAACGATGGTTGTTAACAAGTGGCTGAATAGGACAAATGAAGCTCAGCGTAAATTCAACCAGGAAGACCGCCTTTACTCTTCATGTACTATTCCCATGTAACTACTCTCTCTCCTCTCAATAAGTGATCAGGGGCGTCACTCTCCAGCTTAACCAATCACTTCGCTCTATTCCCAAGATCCTATCATAGTGCTCTGCTAAGCCTTTTAAGTCTGCTCTCCCTCCTCTGACAGCTGTCATTTCAGGTGACTCTACGCAACCCCCCTCCCCCCTTTTCACCTCCTGTCCCTCTGAATCCAGGGTCAAGCTAAGCCCCTCCTCTTCAGACCGACCCAACTATCCATTCACCACCACCAGTGTCTAGACCCCGGGGGGGTTTCATCGGATCGGCTCTACCCTCCCGAATGATACTTCCTGCACAACGGGGCCTAATCGCCAAAATCACCATTACATTCATTTGTGTATCTCTGCAATAAATATGTATTATTACATCAAAACCGTCTCTCCTGATTGAACAGAAGTTGTGGAGGACGTTGTACGTCATTACGCCGAACACGTAAACACTCCTCTGAGTTTGTTTGCCCTGTTCTGCTTGAAAGCAAGTACCTGCCTCCTGCAAACTGTTCAAACAAACGCTTCAACTCGTTCCATTTAGAATCTGTGTGTCTGAATATGGATCTTAAGTTGGCGTGACGTTGAAGTCGTGCTGCTGGACTCGGCTGTAGTTGCTTTACAGCATAACGTTAGAATTTAGCTTCTGGCCATTAGATTTATGATTCGAACATTTTAAAAGTAGGGTAGACATGTGGAGATTACCCGACTGAACAAAACGTGCATTTATCAAACAGGTTCGTTTTCCACAGATCTTATTTTTTACAATATTCCTAAATCCTATGGAGAAATCCCGTTGCTTTTTGTCGAGGGAACCAGCAGCTTACTTCCGGGTCGGCCTACAAAAATACGTCATCACTGCACCGCTCTATTTGGGGTCATAGGAAAGGAGATGCATTTAACTGCAGAACGTCCATCTCTGTCCTTTGCTCTCTGCTAGCTGGTTGACGGATATAATGTCCTGCATGAAACTGGAAAAGATCAGATATTCATTTCTATACTGAAACAGGACATTTCAGGAAGCCTGGGGACCTTTTTTAATGTATTCCACACTCTGTAAAATTATCTGTTATTGATATAGCTTATGTGCAGCATATGTATGTGTGTATGTATGCAGTGTATGTAGCATTTATGTTTATGCATAATGTATTACATGCATATATATTAGTTTAACAATATTTCTTGTAAATATTTGTGTGTCTGAGGCTCACTAGCAGTGAATGTAGGGGATAACTTTAGACGTTATTGTTTGTTTTTTATTTTATTTTTACCTTTGTACATATAACCAGAACAAACAATTGTGTCATTTGCATACATTTTGCTTTCCATTTCTAAAAGGACAAACCCTTGTTATGCATTCTAGAAACGCAATAAAAACATTTTTGATCTGAAAGTTACATGAAATCAAAGTCAACTTTATTGTCAATCTTTCAGTTTGTGTGTACAGACAGAGAGATCGTTTCCCACAATCCCGAATACAAAAACATCAAATCAAATATCCTCTAAGATTATGAAATACACAGGAAAACAACTCCAAGATTTATGGATAATTCATGAGGAAAGCACTCGGATAGAAACATTTGAAATATTTGTAAAAGAACATTCTGAGTAATTCTTATAGTTTCATTTTTATATTCCACAAAGTATCTGCTTTGACTGTAGTCAGAGAAACGATGTTTACGTCGTCTTCTCTGTTTCTCGTAAGGTCTCCCTTTCTGCTGGTCGCTTGTTAGCAGACCCTTCACGTGATAGCAGAGTGTTATACAAATATCACTCGTCACCGGCTTGGTCTTCAATATCAGGATCCATGTATTTATTATCCTTGCAAGAATGGAAGTAGTCATCACACACAGGGCTGCGTGGGACAAATAGTTCCCAGAGTAGAGTCCTTGATATGCTTTATATACAAGAGAGGGAGTTACAGTCAACAAGATGGAGGAATACCGGTTCAAAGCAAAGACATTAGTTCAGAAGGCCTGCGTAAGCAATAAACATGACAGCCTGTCTCTCTAGGGGCGGTGTCATCTGCCAATCTGAGGAACATAGCTATCATGACTTCAACACAGTGTCTCATGAGCGTCATCCATGTAGTCAGACATCCGGCTACGTACACAGCTACGTAGGGCCTCTGTTATCATGTGCTACTCTGATACAGAAGGAACATTCAGTATTTTCCCAACACAGAGCGAACAGGTACAGGAGGCGTAGAGCGAGGGATCATTGTCCACTCGTTAATCGATCGCAGATGGCGTCGTGCTTGCGAACGGATACAAAAAAAATATATATACGAAATATACTTTGGCGGCTGTTAATATACCTGTATACAAGTAGAGTCTATGTGTGGGAAACCCTGCAGTCTGAAAGCATCCTTTTTTTAAATTTAAACATGATCTTTAATAATCGTGTAGTTTAGTTTAACTTTACGAGGTCGACCGGTTGGACTCTGGTTCTGGACCAGCTTGCAGGCCTGGCTCCAGGAGTTCTTGGAGAGAAGGACCGCTTCCTGCCGCAGGACTCGAGTTCCTGAACATGGAGAAACAGCTTCAGTTGTTATACTCCAAATATCTGGATCAAAGTCACAGAAAGAATGTGTCTGCAGCTCAGAGAGTCCTGCTGGGAACCCAGAGATGTGGAGGACCCCAAAGTTTGATGATAGAAATGTAGAGTACGGGTCCCCAGCACATAGAAGCTGCCGGATGCTAACCTGCATATGTTGGGAGAGCTTTACAGATCAGGAGAGTAACTAAGTGTAAGGGAAACTTCAACAGCAATGGAGAGTCAGGACTCAGAGAGACACGAGGAGAGTTGGAGCTTTGATGTCAAACACTGGTGGTTTATTACAAGTATCGGCGGGAAAATGTCACATCACAAGTCACAGCAGCCAGAGGTTCTGACTGCACGGGTGGGTTGCCACATCAATTCTGACCAGCCTCTCTCTCGATAGACCTTTTTAACTAGTTTACAGAGAGTTAATCCACATATTGGGGGAGATAACGTAAACACCTGGGAACACTGGAGATAGCCCCAACATCTGGAGACACTGAATCACTTATCTGACTGTTAGGCTCTGTGACCAAGAGTTGACCGGTCATAAACTGAGAATATCCACATATAAGTGCAGCAGCACATTCCTTAAAGGAGATAACAGAGTCAGGGTTGGTCATAAACGTCAACAGGCAAAAAAGGTTAAATATCTCAGGAGTAAGACAGAATTATTCTCTAACACTAAGTATATTTACTCAAGTACTGTACTTAAGTACCATTTTGATGTACTTGTACTTTACTTGAGTATTGCCATGTTATGCTACTGTGTACTTCTACTCCACTCCAGTTCAGAGGTACATGGTGTACTTTTCCTCCACTACATGTATTTAATACCTTTAGTTACTTTACAGATGTGGATGAATGATGTGAAATCTAATCAAGTGTTGAATCAGACTTTAGTTCCACCTGGAGTAAATCCACCAGCTACCCTGCAGTATACAAAGTCATTCAAACTAGCTGCACCTTCACCAGCTTTGAGAACACTTTCATGATCAATCATTATAAAACATATCATATATATTATTCTGAAATGGACCAATCTGCACAACGACTACTTTTACTGTCGCTGCTTTCACTATATTTTGATGAGAATACTTTTCTACTTTTACTTGAGGAACATTTTGAATGCAGGACTTTCTTTCTCCAGAAATACCATAACCAATAACTACATTTATTCCGCGGTGAAACCTCAATAAACAAACTTCACCTCTCACCTTTCTGTGTGTCTTCACTTCCTGTCACCTGAGAGGAGAAGGAGAGAGAGAGAGAATAATGATGATAATAAAACATGAAGAGAAACAGCCAGAATGATGAAGAGAGAAAAACAAGAGTGTTGTTTTCCTCTGAGGTCATGATCCATGAAAGAGTTTCATATCTAGATGAATGGAGGATATTCATTACTCACAGGTCTTCTGGATCTTGGCTCTGATCGTCTTATTATGTCTGATCCTGTAGGGATGAACACAATCCAACAGTTTCAGATCCAGTTTAAAATAAGTGTTTGTTCTTTGAGTCAGTCAGCTTCAGAGTCCTGACTGATCTCATGCTTTACATCCCATCATATCTTCTCTGCAAACACTACGACTGACTGCTCTCAGCTGCATTACAGGAAGCAACCAGTCATTAGTCTAGAAACTAAAAACATCCCATAAAAACAGACTACCTTTTCCACTCTTCAGTCAAATCCCATTTGTCTGTGAGAGAGTTGATTACTAAATGTCAAGTCAAAGTCAGCTTTAGTGTCAATCTTCCAGTTTGTGTGCACAGACAGAGAGATCGAAATACTGTTTCCCACAATCCAGAATATAAAAACATATGTATATAAAAAATATGTGTGCAAATATTTATATATATTTATACACAGAATCAAAGACACATGTTTACATTAAGACCTAAATACAAAAATACAACAATCAATATATACAAAATAAAATGACAGTGGCTATAAATAAATAATAATATATATAAATGTGTGCATTTCCAGCTGGCCTTCTATAGTTGATGGAAGAATGAAAGAGCCTGCAGTCAGTGGGTAACATCACTGATCTGTTTCCCCAGAGAGAGAAACACCTCCCTGTGTTTCATACAATACTGCTGAACCAGCAGAGACCCCTTACTGACCAGAGAGTCTCCAGTCTGCAGTCTGGACTCTCCAGAAGATCTCTCAGCAGCTTCACTCCTGAATCCTTCAGATCGTTCTCACTCAGGTCCAGATCTCTCAGATGGATGTTGGACTTCAGAGCTGAGGCCAGAGCAGAACAGCTGATCTCTGACAAACTGCAGCGCCTCAGTCTGAATAAAGAAAACATGATGAGGATAAAAATCAGTTTATAATCCAGTCAGATGTTCAGGTCTGAAATGTGCAGCTCATCATTACTGCGTCCTAATCAATGATCTTTCCCTGAATAACAGTGACCGTCATTCTGTTATTGAGGATACTCATTATATCAGCCTTCTGTCTATTATCTGTGAAAACACGTCTAAATGATTGGGAACTAGGGCTGCACGATTAATCGAATCGAAATCACGATATCAGCTTGTGCGATTACATAACCGCAACAGGCTGCGATTTAATTAAATAATAACATGTGGTGGTGTAGAGCCGATGAATGGGAGTCGGAGGCGGTGTGTTTAATATGGAACTGCACACTTTATTTTCCATTTAACTACACACACAAGAACGCACTAGCTGCTACTGTGAAGCTGGAATGCTAACAACAGGAAACCGGAACACCAAGTGAAGCACATCCCTCCGAAAGATGGTCGTACACTTGACTGATGATTTCTCATTTATTGAAAACTCCAAAAATCAACGTAAGAGCTACACAAAGACACAACACAACAACTACAGTTAAGCTTCATCCATATTAGCATCACTTTAGCAAACCATTAAACAAGTGAACCGCAAAGTTATAAAACAATATAAACGAATCAGGACACAAGTTTATATCAGTTAACACTAACCTTGTGCCTCTTGCTAATACTTTAATGTTAACTTTTTATTTTGATATCGCCGTATTTAAATGTAGATATCTCCATTAATGTCTGTACTTTATCTCCGTTCATCTCCGACAAGCTTTTTTCTTTGGGAACAGTAGCTTCCTGTTAATAGCGCAAAGTCGCCTTCTAAATAAAAGCATGTCTAAATAAAACAGGAAGTTGAGTTAACTTGCACTTAAGAAATGTATACAATCGCAATGAAAGTAACAAAAACAATGCAATATCCTTTTCAGGTTCATTGGTGGCCAAAAATAATGCTCCATCTGTAATATGGCGATACTTTGGGTATCACTTTTATTTAACATATATGTTGTTCCAGTTGTAGAGGTTACACTAAATATGCCCCATGTTGTTACTTGCTCTTTTCTCTGTTGCATCCTCATTTGTTTGGGCATCCAGATGTCTTATTTAATGAACATGTGCATGTGTTCTTATATTTTCTGGATAGTAGTGCAGAAAGTATGCAGAGAAAACCTTTATTTTCAAGGAAGATATATTTTGGTATTTATTTGATTTTATCAGATTCTAAGTTATTTTCAAACAGTAGCCTACTGCTCAGATATTGTTGTTGTTGTATTTGTTTATGATTCTTTGAGAATACAGATTTCAAAATGATCATTTGTCTGTGCTCTTCCCTTTCCCTGACCAAGTCCATATTACACTTTGTTCATTCAATCACAAATCACAACATTGTCCACAATAATCTCAATATGACTTTTTCACCAGATCGTGAATCCCTATTGGGAACATAAACATTTCTATGTCACAAAGTAAACTTTATGTAAAACTAATATTAGTTCAGAGGACCTTCTTTATTCAGAGCATCTACTAAAGAAAACATACATTTACTTGAACAACTAGCAGTGGAAGAATAATAGTTTCTTTAGGAAACAATCAACTGTTATGACTGCAGACTACATTTAGAGAAATACAAATGTGAACAAAACAACATTTACAAACGTATGGATGTTATATATATGTAGAAGAACAAGTTGAACAACTAATGAAACATGTGAGACCTCCAGCAGTAACAGAGAGTCAGTGAACTGACCTGAGAGTCTCCAGTCTGCAGTCTGGACTCTCCAGAAGATCTCTCAGCAGCTCCACTCCTGAATCCTTCAGAGTGTTGAGACTCAGGTTCAGATCTCTCAGATGGATGTTGGACTTCAGAGCTGAGGCCAGAGCAGAACAGCTGATCTCTGACAAACTGCAGTACCTCAGTCTGAATAAAGAAAACATGATGAGGATAAAAATCAGTTTATAATCCAGTCAGATGTTCAGGTCTGAAATGTGCAGCTCATCATTACTGCGTCCTAATCAATGATCTTTCCCTGAATAACAGTGACCGTCATTCTGTTATTGAGGATACTCATTATATCAGCCTTCTGTTTATTATCTGTGAAAACACGTCTAAATGATTGGGAACTAGGGCTGCACGATTAATCGAATCACAATCACGATATCAGCTTGTGCGATTACATAACCGCAACAGGCTGCGATTTAATTAAATAATAACATGTGGTGGTGTAGAGCCGATGAATGGGAGTCGGAGGCGGTGTGTTTAATATGGAACTGCACACTTTATTTTCCATTTAACTACACACACAAGAACGCACTAGCTGCTACTGTGAAGCTGGAATGCTAACAACAGGAAACCGGAACACCAAGTGAAGCACATCCCTCCGAAAGATGGTCGTACACTTGACTGATGATTTCTAATGTATTGAAAACTCCAAAAATCAACGTAAGAGCTACACAAAGACACAAAACAACAAATACAGTTAAGCTTCATCCATATTAGCATCACTTTAGCAAACCATTAAACAAGTGAACTGCAAAGTTATAAAACAATATAAACGAATCAGGACACAAGTTTATATCAGTTAACACTAACCTTGTGCCTCTTGCTAATACTTTAATGTTAACTTTTTATTTTGATATCGCCGTATTTAAATGTAGATATCTCCGTTAATGTCTGTACTTTATCTCCGTTCATCTCCATCAAGTTCTTTTCTTTGGGAACAGTAGCTTCCTGTTAATAGCGCAAAGTCGCCTTCTAAATAAAAGCATGTCTAAATAAAACAGGAAGTTGAGTTAACTTGCACTTAAGAAATGTATACAATAGCAATGAAAGTAACAAAAACAATGCAATATCCTTTTCAGGTTCATTGGTGGCCAAAAATAATGCTCCATCTGTAATATGGCGATACTTTGGGTATCACTTTTATTTAACATATATGTTGTTCCAGTTGTAGAGGTTACACTAAATATGCCCCATGTTGTTACTTGCTCTTTTCTCTGTTGCATCCTCATTTGTTTGGGCATCCAGATGTCTTATTTGATGAACATGTGCATGTGTTCTTATATTTACTGGATAGTAGTGCAGAAAGTATGCAGAGAAAACCTTTATTTTCAAGGAAGATATATTTTGGTATTTATTTGATTTTATCAGATTCTAAGTTATTTTCAAACAGTAGCCTACTGCTCAGATATTGTTGTTGTTGTATTTGTTTATGATTCTTTGAGAATACAGATTTCAAAATGATCATTTGTCTGTGCTCTTCCCTTTCCCTGACCAAGTCCATATTACACTTTGTTCATTCAATCACAAATCACAACATTGTCCACAATAATCTCAATATGACTTTTTCACCAGATCGTGAATCCCTATTGGGAACATAAACATTTCTATTTCACAAAGTAAACTTTATGTAAAACTAATATTAGTTCAGAGGACCTTCTTTATTCAGACCATTTACTAAAGAAAACATACATTTACTTGAACAACTAGCAGTGGAAGAATAATAGTTTCTTTAGGAAACAATCAACTGTTATGACTGCAGACTACATTTAGAGAAACACAAATGTGAACAAAACAACATTTACAAACGTATGGATGTTATATATATGTAGAAGAACAAGTTGAACAACTAATGAAACATGTGAGACCTCCAGCAGTAACAGAGAGTCAGTGAACTGACCTGAGAGTCTCCAGTCTGCAGTCTGGACTCTCCAGAAGATCTCTCAGCAGCTCCACTCCTGAATCCTTCAGAGCGTTGTGACTCAGGTCCAGATCTCTCAGATGGATGTTGGACTTCAGAGCTGAGGCCAGAGCAGAACAGCTGATCTCTGACAAACTGCAGCACCTCAGTCTGAATAAAGAAAACATGATGTCACTTTAGACAACAAAGTTCACCTGTTTTGAAATAACTCCAGGTAAGGTAATAATCTCGTTCAGAGTTAAACAGGGTTTTAATGTCAGAGATGATTAGAAACCAATCCACTGATAATCTGGATCTTTCACTTGGATCACATGTTTTAACCAACATCCCTTCATCTCCCTCACAGCTCCTCAGTACTGACAGCATCTCCCACTTGACTCCCTGGAGTCACAGTGTGAGTCTGTGGAAGCTCACACTCTCTCTCTCCCTCACACATCACCTTCTCTTTGATAATCTTGATGAAATTGCAGTCCATTAGCAAACATGAAGAAGAAATTAACAATTAAAATGTATTGTTTCAAATTCAGAAAATGATAAACACAACAGATCTTGTATGAACTGCAGTCCAGTGAACTGACCCTGAGAAGCCTCCAGTCTGCAGTTTGGACTCTTTAGTCCAGAACTCCAGCAGCTTCCCACTCCTGAGTCCCTTCAGAGGGTTGTTACTCAGGTCCCAGATCTCTCAGATGGGAGGGGTCCGACTTCAGAGCTGAGGCCACGACTTCAAAGTGAGTCTCTGAGAGTCCACAGCCATCAAGTCTATAAAAACACATATATTACAACATGTGTTAAAACAAGAGGAAAACATTATATTAACTTGAAGCATTTGATGAAAAACATATTTGAACATATGTTCTGATTGAGATTTGCTGTTAGTCTATTTTATATCATAATATAATATAGTAGAGCTTAATGAGTTTGTCGGTGTGATCTGATCACATGTCTGTGCTCCTGCTGTCACTGACTGTTACCAAAAGAAAAACAGAAAATCAAAAGTTCCCCTATTATACAGTTTCTCATAATATATCACAGGTCTCAGATATATCCAGAGCCTGTCTCTGATTGGCTGAACAACCAAACAGATCATTGCAGCATTACCCATAATCCCCTCTGTTTCAGCCCTGTTTCCAAAGTGCTGATTCTCTGTCTGTTACTTTAGATGAAAGTAAGGAGCCCCTCCCCACGCCCCTCTGAGAGAGATGTGGTTACAAAGAACTCAATGGTGCTCTAGGAGGAGATTCAGGTGATAAGGGGGGGGGTGGGGGTTACCTTGGTTGCTGATTGGCTAATGGTTACACAAGACAAAACATCCCTCCGAAAGAAAAATCACAACATTGTCCACAATAATCTCAATATGACTTTTTCACCAGATCGTGAATCCCTATTGGGAACATAAACATTTCTATGTCACAAAGTAAACTTTATGTAAAACTAATATTAGTTCAGAGGACCTTCTTTATTCAGAGCATCTACTAAAGAAAACATACATTTACTTGAACAACTAGCAGTGGAAGAATAATAGTTTCTTTAGGAAACAATCAACTGTTATGACTGCAGACTACATTTAGAGAAATACAAATGTGAACAAAACAACATTTACAAACGTATGGATGTTATATATATGTAGAAGAACAAGTTGAACAACTAATGAAACATGTGAGACCTCCAGCAGTAACAGAGAGTCAGTGAACTGACCTGAGAGTCTTCAGTCTGCAGTCTGGACTCTCCAGAAGATCTCTCAGCAGCTCCACTCCTGAATCCTTCAGAGTGTTGTGACTCAGGTCCAGATCTCTCAGATAGATGTTGGACTTCAGAGCTGAGGCCAGAGCACAACAGCTGATCTCTGACAACCAGCAGAACTACTCAGTCTGAATAAAGAAAACATGATGTCACTTTAGAAAACAAAGTTCCTGTTTGAAATAACTCCAGGTTTAATAATCTGTTCAGAGTTAAACAGGGTTTGAATGTCAGAGATGATTTAGAAACAATCCACTGATAATCTGGATCTTTCACTTTGATCACATGTTTAACAACTCCTTCATCTCCCTCACAGCTCATCAGTACTGACAGCATCTCCACTGACTCATGGAGCACAGGGTGAGTCTGTGGAAGCTCACACTCTCTCCCTCACACATTCACCTTCTCTTTGATAATCTAATGAATATTCAGTCATTAGCAAACATGGAAGAAATAACAATTAAAATGTATTTGTTCAAATTCAGAAAATGATAAACACAAACAGATCTGTATGAACTGCAGTCAGTGAGCTGACCTGAGAGCCTCCAGTCTGCAGTTTGGACTCTTTAGTCCAGAACTCAGCAGCTCCACTCCTGAGTCCTTCAGAGCGTTGTGAGTCAGGTCCAGATCTCTCAGATGGGAGGGGTCCGACTTCAGAGCTGAGGCCACGACTTCAAAGTGAGTCTCTGAGAGTCCACAGCCAGTAAGTCTATAAAAACACATATATTACAACATGTGTTAAAACAAGAGGAAACATTATATTAACTTGAAGCATTTGATGAAAACATATTTGACATATGTTCTGATTGAGATTTGCTGTTAGTCTATTTTATATCATAATATAATATAGTAGAGCTTAATGAGTTGTCGGTGTGATCTGATCACATGTCTGTGCTCCTGCTGTCACTGACTGTTACCAAAAGAAACAGAAATCAAAAGTTCCCCTATTATACTGTTTCTCATCAATATATCACAGGTCTCAGATATATCCAGAGCCTGTCTCTGATTGGCTGAAACACCAAACAGATCATTGCAGCATTACCCATAATCCCCTCTGTTTCAGCCCTGTTTCCAAAGTGCTGATTCTCTGTCTGTTACTTTAGATGAAAATAAGGAGCCCCCCCCCACGCCCCTCTGAGAGACATTTGGTTACAAAGAACTCAATGGTGCTCTAGGAGGAGATTCAGGTGATAAGGGGGGGGAGGGGGTTCCTTGGTTGCTGATTGGCTAATGGTTACACAAGACAAAACATCGTTATGACATCATAAAGTGGCCAAAATCTGATCAGCTCATTTTCAGACAGGTTTTTATAGAAATGGATCAAAAAGAGAGAAAATCTTTGTTCCTGAAACTTTCAGAGTCTCTTTCCACAAAGGGGACACATGTTGATGTAGAAGAGACATGAAGAAGAGGGGACACATGTTGATATAGAAGAGACATGAAGAAGAGGAGGACACATGTTGATGTAGAAGAGACATGAAGAAGAGGGGACACATGTTGATGTAGAAGAGACATGAAGAAGAGGGGACACATGTTTGATGTAGAAGAGACATGGAGAAGAGGGACACATGTTGATGTAGAAGAGACATGAAGAAGAGGGGACACATGTTGATGTAGAAGAGACATGGAAGAAGAGGGGACACATGTTGATGTAGAAGAGACATGGAGAAGAGGGGACACATGTTTGATGTAGAAGAGACATGAAGAAGAGGGGACACATGTTGATGTAGAAGATACATGAAGAAGAGGGGACACATGTTGATGTAGAAGAGACATGAAGAAGAGGGGACACATGTTGATGTAGAAGATACATGAAGAAGAGGGGACACATGTTGATGTAGAAGAGACATGAAGAAGAGGGGGACACATGTTGATGTAGAAGAGACATGAAGAAGAGGGGACACATGTTGATGAAGAAGAGGGGACACATGTTGATGTAGAAGAGACATGAAGAAGAGGGGACACATGTTGATGTAGAAGAGACATGAAGAAGAGGGGACACATGTTGATGTAGAAGAGACATGAAGAAGAGGGGACACATGTTGATGTAGAAGAGACATGAAGAAGAGGGGACACATGTTGATGTAGAAGAGACATGAAGAAGAGGGGGACACATGTTGATGTAGAAGAGACATGAAGAAGAGGGGACACATGTTGATGTAGAAGAGACATGAAGAAGAGGGGACACATGTTGATGTAGGGGGACACATGTTGATGTAGAAGAGACATGAAGAAGAGGGGACACATGTTGATGTAGAAGAGACATGAAGAAGAGGGGACACATGTTGATGTAGAAGAGACATGAAGAAGAGGGGGGACACATGTTGATGTAGAAGAGACATGAAGAAGAGGGGACACATGTTGATGTAGAAGAGACATGAAGAAGAGGGGACACATGTTGATGTAGAAGAGACATGAAGAAGAGGGGACACATGTTGATATAGAAGAGACATGAAGATAGAGGGGACACATGTTGATGTAGAAGAGACATGAAGAAGAGGGGACACATGTTGATGTAGAAGAGACATGAAGAAGAGGGGACACATGTTGATGTAGAAGAGACATGAAGAAGAGGGGACACATGTTGATGTAGAAGAGACATGAAGAAGAGGGACACATGTTGATGTAGAAGAGACATGAAGAGAGGGGACACATGTTGATGTAGAAGAGACATGAAGAAGAGGGGACACATGTGATGTAGAAGAGACATGAAGAAGAGGGGACACATGTTGATGTAGAAGAGACATGAAGAAGAGGGGACACATGTTGATGTAGAAGAGACATGAAGAAGAGGGGACACATGTTGATGTAGAAGAGACATGAAGAAGAGGGGACACATGTTGATGTAGAAGAGACATGAAGAAGAGGGGACACATGTTGATGTAGAAGAGACATGAAGAAGAGGGGACACATGTTGATGTAGAAGAGACATGAGGAAGAGGGGACACATGTTGATGTAGAAGAGACATGAGAAGAGGGGACACATGTTGATGTAGAAGAGACATGAAGAAGAGGGGACACATGTTGATGTAGAAGAGACATGAAGAAGAGGGGACACATGTTGATGTAGAAGAGACATGAAGAAGAGGGGACACATGTTGATGTAGAAGAGACATGAAGAAGAGGGGACACATGTTGATGTAGAAGAGACATGAAGAAGAGGGGACACATGTTGATGTAGAAGAGACATGAAGAAGAGGGGACACATGTTGATGATAGAAGAGACATGAAGAGAGGGGACACATGTTGATGTAGAAGAGACATGAAGAAGAGGGGACACATGTTGATGTAGAAGAGACATGAAGAAGAGGGGACACATGTTGATGTAGAAGAGACATGAAGAAGAGGGGACACATGTTGATGTAGAAGAGACATGAAGAAGAGGGGGACACATGTTGATGTAGAAGAGACATGAAGAAGAGGGGACACATGTTGATGTAAGAAGAGACATGAAGAAGAGGGGACACATGTTGATGTAGAAGAGACATGAAGAAGAGGGGACACATGTTGATGTAGAAGAGACATGGAGAAGAGGGGACACATGTTGATGAAGAAGAGACATGAAGAAGAGGGGACACATGTTGATGTAGAAGAGACATGAAGAAGAGGGGACACATGATTGATGTAGAAGAGACATGAAGAAGAGGGGACACATGTTGATGTAGAAGAGACAGTGAAGAAGAGGGGACACATGTGATGTAGAAGAGACATGAAGAAGAGGGGACACATGTTGATGTAGAAGAGACATGAAGAAGAGGGGACACATGTTGATGTAGAAGAGACATGAAGAAGAGGGGACACATGTTGATGTAGAAGAGACATGAAGAAGAGGGGACACATGTTGATGTAGAAGAGACATGAAGAAGAGGGGACACATGTTGATGTAGAAGAGACATGAAGAAGAGGGGGACACATGTTGATGTAGAAGAGACATGAAGAAGAGGGGACACATGTTGATGTAGAAGAGACATGAAGAAGAGGGGACACATGTTGATGTAGAAGAGACATGAAGAAGAGGGGACACATGTTGATGTAGAAGAGACCTGAAGAAGAGGGGACACATGTTGATGAAGAAGAGACATGAAGAAGAGGGGACCATGTTGATGTAGAAGAGACATGAAGAAGAGGGGACCACATGTTGATGTAGAAGAGACATGAAGAAGAGGGGGACACATGTTGATGTAGAAGAGACATGAAGAAGAGGGGACACATGTTGATGTAGAAGAGACATGAAGAAGAGGGGACACATGTTGATGTAGAAGAGACATGAAGAAGAGGGGACACATGTTGATGTAGAAGAGACATGAAGAAGAGGGGACACATGTTGATGTAGAAGAGGAGGACATGAAGAAGAGGGGACACATGATGAAGAAGAAGAGACATGAAGAAGAGGGGACACATGTTGATGTAGAAGAGACATGAAGAAGAGGGGACACATGTTGATGTAGAAGAGACATGAAGAAGAGGGGACACATGTTGATGTAGAAGAGACATGAAGAAGAGGGGACACATGTTGATGTAGAAGAGACATGAAGAAGAGGGGACACATGTTGATGTAGAAGAGACTGAAGAAGAGGGGGACACGTGTTGATGTAGAAGAGACATGAAGAAGAGGGACACGTGTTGATGTAGAAGAGACATGAAGAAGAGGGGACACAGTGTTGATGTAGAAGAGACATGAAGAAGAGGGGACACATGTTGATGTAGAAGAGACATGAAGAAGAGGGGACACATGTTGATGTAGAAGAGACATGAAGAAGAGGGGACACATGTTGATGTAGAAGAGACATGAAGAAGAGGGGACACGTGTTGATGTAGAAGAGACATGAAGAAGAGGGGACACTGTGATGTAGAAAGAGACATGAGAAGAGGGGACACATGTTGATGTAGAAGAGACATGAAGAAGAGGGGACACATGTTGATGTAGAAGAGACATGAAGAAGAGGGGACACATGTTGATGTAGAAGAGACATGAAGAAGAGAGGACAAATACACATTACACATATCAGACATGTAACAGTCATTACTGTGGACAATACCCAGAGAAAAGTGTTTAGGCTTCTCTGAGCATCTGAACTTGTGTTGCGAACACAAACACAATTAACAAAACAATAAAGTTTCAATATTTCAAACTGAATACCATCAGATGTTCTCAGTATATCAGCATTAAGACATGACTCTGTTATTGGTGGGAAATGATATAGATCTGATTTTAAACTCCAACACATTGTGATAAAAACCTGTGTCTGTTTAATGATAAAGAAACTACTAGAAAGTAATAATAACATATTTCTCTGATAACTGTAAGTCCTGCTGTGTGGTGTGATCACATGCTGAGAAACCTCTAGAGTCCTTCATGTGTTTGACATGTCGCCTCCTTCACTCAATATGAAGAGAGGAACGCTTCAGTTTAGCTATTATTATAAATAAATAGAAGAACAGTGCTGGTTTTATTTTGCTCTCAGTATTTAAACAGCAGAAATGTTATAGTGTTTATCTGAATAATTAAACTCCTGATCCACATTAGTTTATAAAGTTAATCACATCTGGACTTACTTGGCCTTCCTGCAGTTCCTCACAGCTGGAAGCAGTCTCCGTTTCCCCTCCCGTGATGTTTTGTACTGACTCAGGTCCAACTCATCCAGAACCTCCTCTGACATCTGCAGCATGTAGGCCAGAGCAGAGCAGTGGATCACAGAGAGTTCCTTCTCTGATCTGTTCTCTGACTTCAGGAACTCTGTGATCTTCTGATGTACTGAGTGGTCCTTCATCTCTGTCAGACAGTGGAAGATGTTGATGCTCCTGTCAGGAGAGATATATCCACTGCTCATCTCCTTCAGGTTGCTGATGGCTCTCTGGATGATTTCTGGTCTGATGTCTTTGCGACCCAGCTGGCCTTTGAAGATTCTCTGGATGATTGTTGGACGCTTGCCTGTGCGACCCAGCAGGCCTCCTAACAGACTCTGGTTGGACTCCAGAGAGAGGCCGTGGAGAAAGCGGACAAACAGGTCCAGGTGGCCATTTTTACTACAGAGGGATTTCCCCATGGCTCCCTTCAGGAAGACATCCAGGGATGGGTAATCCTGATCTCTGTTTTCACTGTTCTCATAGGGCCAGTCTCCCTGCAGGAAGTCCTTCAGTACCTCTGTGTCTCTGTTGGTGTAACAGTGCAACATGTAGACTGCAGCCAGGAACTCCTGAATGCTCAGATGAACAAAGCAGTAGACTGTTTTCTGGAAGATCACACTCTCTCTTTTGAAGATCTCTGTACAAACTCCTGAGTGCACCAAGGCCTCTGTGACATCAAGGCCACAGCGCTGCAGGTCTTCTTGGTAGAACATGATGTGTCCTTTCTCCAGATGTTCAAACGCCAGCCTCCCCAGCTTCAGAAGAACCTTCCTGTCAGCCTCCGTCAGCTGCTGTGGACTCGTCTCATGTCCCGCTTCATACTTCTGCTTCTTCCTCTTGGTCTGGACCAGCAGGAAGTGTGAGTACATGTCAGTGAGGGTCTGGGGCAGCTCTCCTCTCTGGTATGTAGTCAACATGTGATCCAGAACTGCAGCAGTGATCCAGCAGAAGACTGGGATCATGCACATGATGTGGAGGCTCCTGGAGCTCTTGATGTGAGAGATGATTTTGCTGGACAGGTCTTCATCACTCGATCTCCTCCTGAAGTACTCCTCCTTCTGGGCGTCAGTGAAGCCTCGTACTTCTGTCACCCTGTCCACACACTCAGGAGGGATCTGATTGGCCGCTGCAGGTCTGGAAGTTATCCAGACGAGAGCCGAGGGAAGCAGCTTCCCCCTGATGAGGTTTGTCAGCAGCACGTTGACTGAGGACTGCTGAGAGACATCAGACACAACCTCATTGTTTCTGAAGTCCAGAGAAAGTCTGCTTTCATCCAGGCCGTCAAAGATGAGCAGCACTTTGCAGACAGCCAGCTGCTCTGCTGTGACCTTCTGTAAGGTGGGATGGAAAACATGGAGCAGCCTGAGAAGACTGTACTGCTCACCTTTGATCAGGTTCAGCTCCCTGAAGGAGAGCGGGATCACCAGACTGACATCTTGGTTTCCCAAACCCTCGGCCCAGTCCAGAGTGAACTTCTGCACTGAGAAGGTTTTTCCAACTCCAGCGACTCCGTTGGTCAGGACCGCTCTGATGAGAGTCTGCTGGTCAGGTAAGGCTTTAAAGATGTCCTGGCACTTGATTGGAGTGTCATGGAGGGTCTCCTTCTTGGAAGCTGTCTCCAGCTGCCTCACCTCATGCTGGGTATTAACCTCTTCACTCTGGCCTTGTGTGATGTAGAGCTCAGTGAAGATGCTGTTGAGGAGGGTTTCACTTTGATCAGTTCCTTCAGTCACACGTTCACATCTCCTCCTCAGACTGAGCCTATGTTCATCTAGAACCTCCTGCAGACCACTATCTGCTGGAAGAGAAGGGAACACGAGAGAATCAGGAAATGCTTTTGAGAATCTAACAATAAAACTAATAAAAAATAGACTGAGTTGAAATGTTTTGCAAACAGCTTAATGTCTATGCTCTACAACAGTATACCTGATCAAGACCAAATGAACCAGGAAGAGGAATAAGACGCTGCATGAGTTCGGCCTCTTACCTCGTACAGAGCTGCTCTGACTGGCTGTCTGCAGGCCAGCTCTGGTTCTGGATCTCTCTCCACACTGGGGACAGGAGGGGTTTCCTGATGGAGGTCTCTGCTCCCAGTATGAGGTGATGCACTGTCTGCAGAACCAGTGTCCACAGCTGGTAGAGACTGGATCCTTCAGGACGTCCTGACACAGAGCACAGCTGGACAGCTGCTCCTCCACAGGAACACCACTCTGCCTCTTCCCTCTGTGGAGAGGAACACATCCTTTATAGCACTTTAGGGGAGCTGATTATCCCCAAAGGTACAACAAGGGGGAACATTCTAGTTTGATATTTAAAAAAAGGTCTCTACAATATACCTTTGTGGTATAGGTAGATAGCTTACAATTCATATTATCATGAAACCAAAGAGCATCCTGTCTGGATTCATGACATCCCCCAGAGGAGCACAAGTGCACTGCATCTACTACAGGGTTCTTACACCTTTTCCAAAGTCAAATTCAAGCACTTTTCAAGCATTTTCAAGGTGCATTTTCCAGCTTTTCAAGCAGCTTACAGCTGTTGTAAATTACATATTTATATACACATACTCAAATGATTATTTCCCTACCTCACATTAAATCAGATGTTCTTTATGCTATAAACAACCACATGTGTGTTTTGTGATAGCCTTCTACACGAGGATGAAAAATTAATGAAAATAAAACTAAGTTTAATATTTCAAAATCAGTGATCTGTACGTAGACTGGGCCTCCCATATAACCTGTCTGAGCCGATATAAAACAATCAGTCAAATAACTTTTCAATACATTATTGATTACTATTTTTGAGGTACTTTTAGGTTGGCAGTAAACATAAGTCAGAGGTACATGGTGTACTTCTACTCCACTACAGTTCAGAGGTACATGGTGTACTTCTACTCCACTACAGTTCAGAGGTACATGGTGTACTTCTACTCCACTAAATGTATTTAATACCTTTAGTTACTTCACAGATGTGGATGAATGATGTGAAATCTAACCAAGTGTTAAATCAGACTTTAGTTCCACCTGGAGTAAATCCACCAGCTACCCTGCAGTATACAAAGTCCTTCAAACTAGCTGCACCTTCTCCAGCTTTGAGAACACTTTCATGATCAATCATTATAAAACATATCATATATTCTGAAATGGACCAATCTGCACAACGACTACTTTCACTGTCGCTACTTTCACTATATTTGATGAGAATACTTTTCTACTTTCACTTGAGGAATATTTTGAATGCAGGACTTTTACTGTGACAGAGTATTCCTACACTCTGGTACTTCTACTTTTGCTAAGTACAAGATCTGAGTACTTATAATTTCACTACAAGATCTGAGTACTTATACTTTTACTCAAGTACAATACCTGAGTACTTATTCCACCTCTAGTAGCGTATTAGTCTGAATTGTAGCCACAAAATCACGCAGAGCTGCATAGAAATAGACTCACAATGGTAACAAGTGGAAAATAATATTTACAAATGTGTACAATGATTTGTAGGTAATGCTGACTACTCAAGAACCTGACTTCTACATCTTCAAAGGAAGACTGTGTTCATTCTACCATTACATGGGATTAAAGCAACATGTAGTTTTACTTGTATAATACTTCAATTTTATATAAAGACAGTTTGTTTTCATCTGTTTTCAAATAAACAAAGTCTTGGCTTTCAGAATATTAAACTTCTTTCGGCAAATTCAGATGATAAATACAACTTTGAAGCTTCGGCATAATTACAAGCAGAGAACTGAGTAACTTAACGTCACAGCAGGCATAACAACAGCTGGTGTTTCTTGTAAGTGTTTCCCCGGGAAACAAACGCAAAAATACACAAACACACACACACACACACACACACACTCGCGAGCTTCCCCCAGACCAGTAATACAAACGAAGATGTGTCTTCGGGTCGATGTGACTGATTTCGATAGAGCAAGTCACATTTGGTTTAGGCACGAAACATACTACCAGTAGAAATACATTGCTTTCAAAATCGCTCTGTGTCAAATCAAGAGATTATATTTATGCTATAACACAAAATGCCTTGAGTGCTTCATCCTCTGAACACCACACGATGGCGACTGTAACGCACATAACATAGGTACGCTCCTCTGAAATGATTGTCCCCTGCAATTATTATTATCCCTCAATCGAGTTTGCTATTCAGCTCGCTAACGTTAGCTTAAACAAACGTAACATGCAACGTTAGCCTAATCTAAAATGCTCTTCTACGGCGTACCTTTCATGTGGCTCGTCAGCGCAGACTCTCGCATCGTTATTTTTGCAAACTTTGCAGGAGCTGTTTTAGAAGCGAAGCAATTATTTTTCTTTCAATCTAAAAACCGAACTATTCAGTCAGACAGCAATTTATTGTAAAAGTAAAGCATTTACATTTTCAAGCACTTTATCTCAATTTCAAGCACCATTCCCAAAATTCAAGCACTTTCCCAACCTTGAAAACACCACGTCAAATGTCAAGCATTTTCAAGGATTTCAAGCACCCGTACGAACCCTGCTACTAAGACACACAGCTGTATTAACCTGGTACACTATAAACCCAACTTACAGAGAATCTGCTGTGAATTCATAGCAATAAACATCTGGAAAGGATGCCTGAATAACAACAGAATGATACTGATTTGATACTGAGTTAAAGCTTTGTCAGGTCTGACTCCAACACAACGAGCGTAAACATTTACAAACGTTTGTTTTCTGAATGAGATGGGTTTGATTAAAGCTAGGCTAACATTAGCTGCTCCATCAGCCCTCAGAAGAACTTCATGTAGTCATACGTACAGCAGTGACTATATTGTTAGCACCACAGACAGTCTTTGGTTTAAACAGGAACATGAATAACCCTGATTGAATATGAGCTGCTGTAGAGCTCTGTTCTCCTCTCTGATTCCCCTCAGACCGTCAGAGACCACAGGAGCACAATCTCAACACTGACAGCTTTCTGTAACAGAGCGTCACAGACTTTACACTCAAGTTGAAATGTGTCACGCTGCACGAATACGCAGGTGATATGAATTTCCCATCTTCACTTCCTTCGTGTTGCCAGGCACGGATCTGGGTCTTTGCATTGACTCTACATGTAATCTCTGAAACTCTGTTATATCTGCTAATGCTGAACTCAACCAGCTCACCAGGTGACTGCTATTATTAATAAACATCATAAAAAGACATATCATAAACATGCCCAAGTAGTTAAAGAATGTTTTGGATGATATATATTTAGTTTTAAATCAGTATTTATCAACATGTTTGCTATTTAAAACCCTTTCATACCACAGATACAATGATAATATAATTGCATATTGAATTATCCTCAAATAATGTTAGCTTGCTGTACTCTGCTGCGTGTTCCCTTTACAAAGTGCTCACATGATTCATTAAAGAACAGTTTAATATATTAGATTACATAAAAACAGAATCCTCTTCAGGTCAGGTTACAGTAGAGACAGACTCTTACTTTGTGTCTGAGGGTCCAGGTTCATTACTGAAGGTTAGAGGGTCCCTCATAGACCAGTCACTCTTCAGAGACAGACAGCTGGGGACTGGAGACTCTGCTCTCTGTCTGTGGAAACAACACATGTTTTAAACATCATTAGTTTATTTAAAGAGCTGATTTTGATCTCTGACTGTTCACCTGATTAAATATCTTTAGAGTTGTTGAGTCGTGATTGTGGGTTTCTGTTGTTAAAATTAATTTGAGTGTGAAACGTTTTACATATTTGTATTTTATTTGCTTAATTTAACACAAAGTCCAACATGTAGAGTGTGAGGATGATTTCACTGGTAGATCATTTACTATTGCTGTGAAGTCAAACAGAGCCTGAGGCTATAATAATGATCAAATAAATACAGATTACAATTAGTCGGAAAATAATATATATAAATACATATCAATAAAAAAATAGAAAACATTCTACCAAGTCAGGACAGGCAGCCGGTAACACACTGAAGAGTGCAGACGGGAAGCATTCTACCAAGTCCTCACAGGCAGCCGGTCAGACACTCAGATCCTTAGTGTTGTGTGAGAGGTCCGCAGAGCCACGGTGCGCTCAGATGTTTTATGTTCTGGTAATTGTTTGCGTGTGTGCCACGTGTCCTTTTATAACCATTGTTTATATAAGTATCAATTTGGTGCGCTAATTTTGCAGAACATTCTGAGCTTATGCTGCGTTCACACCGGACGCGATGTGAATATTCGCTTCGCTCTAAACGCTCGAGTTTCACCTCAGCTTGCAGTTTGTTATATCGCGTCATTCAAAACAGACATACCGTTGACGCGCCGCGCCGTTGACGGACAGTTGAGGTTGTTTACACTTCCATGCAAGATCGTTTTGGTTATTTCTGTCCTTGACTATGGAGGAACAACTATTGCTGCCTTGTACCTTCTGTGGAAGTGTATCGTACATCTCCGGGAACCCACTCACAGCCACAACGATCATCTCTTCCATCTTTACAACTGATCAACAGCAGGACGTCAGAGGGAATCCCAACGCTGATTGGCTTTCGTGAGAACGCGCCACCTGAATTTGACGCTCGAGTTGAAAAAATGTAACTCTTGCATTTGAGGCGGCCCGCTTCAATCGCGTGATTCGCACCACGTCCACCGCTTCATGCTCGCCGCCGGAGTGAATTTGCGTCTGTCCGCATCTCTGCATTGACTTTACATGTAATCGCACCGCCCCCAAACATCGCATTGTGAATGCAGCATTAGACTCTCTGTTAGTTATTGTTAAAAGGATAGATAAAAGAAGGACCTATTTATTTTTAACATCCTGCAATTAGCCTACTCTGATAGGTGTTAAAAGGATATATACGATTTTAGGAGGTTAAATACATTGAATTTAAGAAGAACAATAAATAAATACAATCTTTCTTGTTATAAATAATTCATTTGATTTACTAAAAACCTTTCTAATAAAATCCAGTCAATCTGCAGAGATTTTAAAAGAGCTCGGGTTTAGAGAATGTATGTTTAAAATGAATATTTCTGTGCTTAGTCTGCCCAGTTTATTTGTAAAATATTCACAATTAAGGCAGCAGTGTCAGTGTATTGTTTGCATGCTTTGTTTATTTTTAATAACTTGCTAGTTGTCTAAATGCATCTTTCTTGTTTCAAGTAAACTGCTGAAATAAAAGACTGAAAAGTAAAGCTGTGTCATTGGAGTGGAACCCTGTTCAAAGTCAGTAGATGCCTCAAGTCCCTTTCAAGGGGAAACTGCACCCAAATCAGAGGAGACTTGACTATTGCTGATGATGACAAGGAACAAGAGTTCAACTTTGTTGATGTACTAAAAACTGAATCCTCTTCAGGTCAGGTTACAGTAGAAACAGACTCTTACTTTGTGTCTGAGGGTCCAGGTTCATTACTGAAGTTTATAGGTTTCCACATAGACCGGTCACTCTTCAGAGACAGACAGCTGGGGACTGGAGACTCTGCTCTCTGTCTGTGGAAACAACACATGTTATAAACATCATTAGTTTATTTAAAGAGCAGATTTTGATCTCTGACTGTTCACCTGATTAAAGATCTTTAGAGTTTTTGAGTCTTGATTGTGGGTTTCTGTTGTTAAAATGCATTTGAGTGTGAAACGTTTTACATATTTGTATTTTATTTGCTTAATTAAACACAAAGTCCAACATGTAGAGTGTGAGGATGATTTCACTGGTAGATCATTGACTATTTGTTGGAGCTATATGTCTCTTTATATTATTTAATAGTTTAACATTTATTTGTCTTGCTGTTTATAGTGTTTATTGTAAATGTATTCTTAGTTAGTGTCATACGTTAAAGTCGTTTCTATGCTCTTATTTTGAAGGCATGTTTGGGCACCGTGATTAGAGCACCTGGTGTAATTGTACATATTGGAGACAGGTGGAGGTGGGAGCCAGAGCGCTAGCAGGCAAACGGTTTTTCACCAGGGTTTTCAACCACAAGAAAGGAAAGCCATAGGAAAGGCTTAAAGGAACCAACCATAGGAAACCTGTTCATTGTCAATGATATTGGATCATAATAAATGCACAACGGATAATCTTGTCTGGACTTGGATCATTGCCCTGCGTAAGATCTGCTAACTAGTGCCGCAGTGGCTGCATTATTTTAAGTTAATTATCTGTTTTATTTCTATATGATTTTGGCCGCGACACTATTGCTGATGATGACAAGGAGCAAGAGTCCAACTTTGTTAAGGTACTCTACTGGGTTTCATTAAACAGTTTAGATTATCAGATGACATAAAAACAGAATCCTCTTCAGGTCAGGTTACAGTAGAAACAGACTCTTACTTTGTGTCTGAGGGTCCAGGGTCATTTCTGAAGTATAGAGGTTCCCCTATAGACCGGTCACTCTTCAGAGACAGACAGCTGGAGACTGGAGACTCTGCTCTCTGTCTGTGGAAACAACACATGTTATAAACATCATTAGTTTATTTAAAGAGCAGATTTTGATCTCTGACTGTTCACCTGATTAAAGATCTTTAGAGTTTTTGAGTCTTGATTGTGGGTTTCTGTTGTTAAAATGCATTTGAGTGTGAAACGTTTTACATATTTGTATTTTATTTGCTTAATTTAACACAAAGTCCAACATGTAGAGTGTGAGGATGATTTCACTGGTAGATCATTTACTATTGCTGTGAAGTCAAACAGAGCCTGAGGCTATAATAATGATCAAATAAATACAGATTACAATTAGTCGGAAAATAATATATATAAATACATATCAATAAAAAAATAGATTAATTTTAATAAGAAATTAAATCATTAGCGTTACAAATATGTTCATTTAAATACAAATTACCCATTAATAGGGATAGAAATCGAGTGTGTAATGATCGCAGGCGGTCCTCCTCTGGCAAGCTGGGAGTAATTACACTAATCAGAAAGCCCCGGTGACGCTACCTGAAGGAGTTAAATAGTTGGTGAATGCGAGTCGGTGACACACTGAAGAGTGCAGACGGGAGGCATTCTACCAAGTCAGGACAGGCAGCCGGTAACACACTGAAGAGTGCAGACGGGAAGCATTCTACCAAGTCAGGACAGGCAGCCGGTCAGACACTCAGATCCTTACCCCCTGATCCCACCGGAAGCGTCTGCGCTGCGCCGCGCTGCGACCTCCTCCTGCGTCATAACCCACCAGGCGCGTTTCAAAACGTTGCGGAAGCGGAGCGTCGTGTATGCAGCCTAGCAGTTGTTGGATGAACGTTCCACTTCCAAAAATAGGATTCATCCTATATTTTATAAATTCCTTGCGGCGAGGAGCTTCTGGGACGCTTCGAGCCACGGTGCGCTCAGATGTTTTATGTTCTGGTAAATTGTTTGCGTGTGTGCCACGTGTCCTTTTATAACTCTACGCGTCATTGTTTATATAAGTATTAATTTGGTGCGCTAATTTTGCAGAACATTCTGAGCTTATGCTGCGTTCACACCGGACGCGATGCGAATATTCGCTTCGCTCTAAACGCTCGAGTTTCACCTCAGCTTGCAGTTTGTTATATCGCGTCATTCAAAACAGACATACCGTTGACGCGCCGCGCCGTTGACGGACAGTTGAGGTTGTTTACACTTCCATGCAAGATCGTTTTGGTTATTTCTGTCCTTGACTATGGAGGAACAACTATTGCTGCTTTGTACCTTCTGTGGAAGTGTATCGTACATCTCCGGGAACCCACTCACAGCCACAACGATCATCTCTTCCATCTTTACAACTGATCAACAGCAGGACGTCAGAGGGAATCCCAACGCTGATTGGCTTTCGTGAGAACGCGTCACGTGAATCTGACGCTCGAGTTGAAAAAATGTAACTCTTGCATTTGAGGCGGCCCGCTTCAATCGCGTGATTCGCACCACGTCCACCGCTTCATGCTCGCCGTCGGAGTGAATTTGCGTCTGTCCGCGTCTCTACATTGACTTTACATGTAATCGCGCCGCCCCCAAACATCGCATTGTGAATGCAGCATTAGACTCTCTGTTAGTTATTGTTAAAAGGATAGATAAAAGAAGGACCTATTTAATTTAACATCCTGCAATTAGCCTACTCTGATAGGTGTTCAAAGGATATATACGATTTTAGGAGGTTAAATACATTGAATTTAAGAAGAACAATAAATAAATACAATATTTATTGTTATAAAGAATTCATTTGATTTACTAAAAACCTTGCTAATAAAATCCAGTTAATTAAATCTGCAGAGATTTTAAAAGAGCTCGGGTTTAGAGAATTGATGTTTAAAATGAATATTTCTGTGCTTAGTCTGCCCAGTTTATTTGTAAAATATTCACAATTAAGGCAGCAGTGTCAGTGTATTGTTTGCATGCTTTGTTTATTTTAATAACTTGCTAGTTGTCTAAATGCATCTTTCTTGTTTCAAGTAAACTGCTGAAATAAAAGACTGAAAAGTAAAGCTGTGTCATTGGAGTGGAACCCTGTTCAAAGTCAGTAGATGCCTCAAGTCCCTTTCAAGGGGAAACTGCACCCAAATCAGAGGAGACTTGACTATTGCTGATGATGACAAGGAGCAAGAGTTCAACTTTGTTAATGTACTAAAAACAGAATCCTCTTCAGGTCAGGTTACAGTAGAAACTCTTACTTTGTGTCTGAGGGTCCAGGTTCATTTCTGAATTTGATAGGTTCCCTCATAGACCGGTCACTCTTCAGAGACAGACAGCTGGGGACTGGAGACTCTGCTCTCTGTCTGTGGAAACAACACATGTTTTAAACATCATTAGTTTATTTAAAGAGTTGATTTTGATCTATGACTGTTCACCTGATTAAAGATCTTTAGAGTTTTTGAGTCTTGATTGTGGGTTTCTGTTGTTAAAATGCATTTGAGTGTGAAACGTTTTTCATATTTGTATTTTATTTGCTTAATTTAACACAAAGTCCAACATGTAGAGTGTGAGGATGATTTCACTGGTAGATCATTTACTATTTGTTGGAGCTATATGTCTCTTAATATTATTTAATAGTTTAACATTTATTTGTCTTGCTGTTTATAGTGTTTATTGTAAATGTATTCTTAGTTAGTGTCATAAGTTAAAGTCGTTTCTATGCTCTTATTTTGAAGGCATGTTTGGGCACTGTGATTAGAGCACCTGGTGTAATTGTACATATTGGAGACAGGTGGAGGTGGGAGCCAGAGCACTAGCAGGCAAACGGTTTTTTAACAGGGTTTTCCAAACACAAGAAAGGAAAGCCATAGGAAAGGCTTAAAGGAACCAACCATAGGAAACCTGTTCATTGTCAATGATATTGGATCATAATAAATGCACAACGGATAATCTTGTCTGGACTTGGATCATTGCCCTGCGTAAGATCTGCTAACTAGTGCCGCAGTGGCTGCATTATTTTAAGTTAATTATCTGTTTTATTTCTATATGATTTTGGCCGCTACACTATTGCTGACGATGACAAGGAGCAAGAGTCCAACTTTGTTAAGGTACTCTACTGGGTTTCATTAAACAGTTTAGATTATCAGATGACATAAAAACAGAATCCTCTTCAGGTCAGGTTACAGTAGAAACAGACTCTTACTTTGTGTCTGAGGGTCCAGGGTCATTTCTGAAGGTTATAGGTTCCCACATAGACCGGTCACTCTTCAGAGACAGACAGCTGGGGACTGGAGATGTGTCCTCTTCCTCATCTTTTAAATCACTCATCTTCTCCAGTCTGAGAGACAAACCAGTAACACTGGAGACACACACACACACACACACACACACACACACACACACACACACACACACACACACACACACACACACACACACACACACACACACACACACTTGTTTCAATCTAAACCATCTTAATAATAAACTTGGTTAAAAGACATGAAATCAGTCAGCCTTCAGGCCGCTCTCCATTTTGACTGCGTCACATGTAACTCTGATGAATCAGGAAACAGGAAATAATAAAAGTTCACAACACTTGCAGAAGTCTCATTGGACTCTATGACGCACATTTTTAACCAATAAGTTATTTTCTGACATCCAGTTTGACAGAGTAAATAATGAATGTGTTAGAAAGCAGATCCTGGTGTTAACACTCACCCTGTTGTCCTCCTGCTCCGTCAAGCTGTAAAATGGCGTCTGGCAGTCTGACAAGTATGACTTCATACTTTCACTTTCAACTTCCCTCCCCGTCTGCAGCCCCTCCCTCTGATAGGAATCATGCTCAAGTTCCAACATAATAGTAACAAAAACATTGAAGACTTCAATGCTTCAAGATTGGAGGTTCAAAACCCCCATTAAACACACACACACACACACACACACACACACACACACACACACACACACACACACACACACACACACAC